GTTTATCACTGCCAGCCATGGAGCAGCTTTTATATTGTACTAATAAATGCCTTTTGTGACCTCCAGAACAAGATACAACAAGATCGTGAAGAATAACAACTTTAAGTCGAATTCACAATAACATTTTTGCTGAGATTTGGAGAAAACAACTTATGTGGAGGTCACAAAAGAACAATAAGAAGACAGAAACAAATAATAATGCATACATTTGCTCTCATCATCAGATGCATATTCATTTAATACTACAGGCCAACATTTAAGTGACCTTAGGCCATGACATGATCCTACAGGCCTATGCAAAAGGCAGTAACCAAAGCTAGTGGTCTGATATTCTGTCATTTTTTCCATAGCGTACATTTTCAGAAATATTTAAACTATGTTCAATTGCCCCCCGCCCACCTGTTTATATGCCCTCTTATCTTTCACTTTTCTGTCCTTTTCTTATGCTTTTCTCTCCGTTATGTTCTCCCTTGCTGTCAGATGTGTTGTGGGGCGCCACTGCTGGTTTGTTTTGAATTATGTTATTAACGTTGGGTTGAGCGGGAGCTCACAGCCCAAATTAGAGCGGTTTCATCACTCTCTCCAAGGTTATCCTCAGGCAGGCTGTGCAAGAGGCCGGATTGGGAGATGAGAGGAAAGAGAGAAAAAGTTAAGAGAGCGGAGGGTGGTTAGGGACTTTAAATAACATATATAAAGACAAAGAGAACAAAAGGGTGAATGGAAGTTGCTGTCAGATATGACATTGTAATCAATCTGCTTAATGATGACATAATTCAAGCTCATTTGCATTTTATGGAATGTCAGGTTTAATTGTGATTCTGGACATATTTAATGCCAATTATGTCCACATTTTCAGAGAGAAAGGAATGAACGAAAGTGAGAAGACGACATTTTGAGTTCATGGTGACACTAAGTGTATTATTATTTTATTGTATAGTTACACCGTTTCAGTAATTCTGTTTTCTTTCTCTCATTCCATCTCTTTCTCCGTGTCCCTGTGGAATATTACCTCCTGTTTTCCCTGCTTCTTGCCATGGGCACTGAAAACAAGTATGCAAATAGAGTGATAACATAGACTTTCATGTCATAGTCATGTCATCCCCTCTGTCAATCAGCAGTCAAAACAAGATGAGACCTGAGACGACAGTCACTTTAGCCCTCTGAACTCAGTGCTTTCCTTCTAATTTATTCAGTTTTTTTTTTTGTCAGATGTCAGAAAACCACAATAAATGCCACCATTGTCATCCATACACTATATGACACACACGTAAAATAAACAATGTAAAAATAGAGAAATAAACAGCAAACCTCAAATGAACCAGAGAAAAGTCCACTGTATGTCTGACATGTAATACAGCTTCATCCAGTCCCCGGGAGTTGGATTATTGTATATATCTGAAATCATATATAATTCTCATATATATATTTATAAATATCCATTTATTTATATATATATATGCAGTATATGTCTGTTCAGTACATTTTGTACCACATTTCATTATACAATTTCTTGCTTACAGAGGCTGCTAGCTCAGTTCTGGTTCTACGGATTGACCAGGTGTCCGATGCTCCGTCCAAGCCCGACAGGCCAGCCAAGGAGCCCGTCGCTATGACAACTGAAGAGTTCCTCCACTTCAACTTTTATCCTTGCCTTGGCAACGCCCAGCAGTGCGTGACAATGTAGTCTTCTTATCCCTCTTCTGCAGTCAGAGGGAGATTCTGAGTTGTTTAGGCGGCATTTCCCTTGGATATAATGGTATCTATTCCTGTAGGGGGCTGCGTTATGTATGGGTAACAGATTTGCAGCCAGCTTTGTGGGCAAGTAGCATTCAAAGTGGGACTATTACCTGATAGCAAGTTGAAGCAAATTAAAACTGATTTCTAAACGGTATGTTTTTGTGCAGCACTGTTGTGCTCATGTTCAGCGGTTTAATATAGACACACAATAGTCAGCGAACTCTTGTATGAGAGCACCAGGGGAACACTTAATGTTCTGTTGTTAACTGTGAGTGTCGGATAAGTAGGGATCTAAAGTATCCTGTGACCATGAGAAGAGTGAAGGGAACCACTAGGGGTTTGCTGAAGATGTTTCTTGACTGAAAGCGAGCGAGAGAAAGAGAGTAAGAAAATAGAGAAGGAAGAAAGACAATGTAAGAAAGTGAAAAAAGGATGGAAGAAAGAAAGAACAAAAGAAAGAAGGGATGAAAAAAGGAAGCAAACAAATGAAGGGAACAAACAAAAAAGAGAGCAAAAGAAAACAAAAGAGGATATAGAAAAGAAAGTGAAAGAAGGAAAGAGAGAAAAAAGGATGGAAGGGAGAAAACAAAATGAAAGTGAACAAACAAAAGTATTGTAACAAAAGATTGAACGAAAGAACAAATTAATGTGAAAAATGTCAGAGCAAACAAAAGGAAAAGAATGACTGAAAAGGATGAACTAATGAGTGAGAAACAATGAATGAAACAAATGAAATTAAGTTGAACGACTGAAAGAGAACAAAAAGAATGAGCGAAAAAGAAACAAGAAAGAACGCACGAAAGAGTAAGACTGAAAGCAACGAAAATGAATGAAACAAACAATGAAGTTGAACGATTGAAAAAGAACGAGCAAGAGAATGAAAGATTCCTGCAAGTGAGCAGTTACACCATTACGGGGAGCATATCTTTCTCTCTCTCTCTCTCTCTCTGTGTGTGTGTGTGTGTGCGCGTGCACTTCTGTGCAGGCGGTAGTGTAGTTAAGCTGCAGGAGATTAGGAAGCTCAGTCCAGACCAGCGCCTGAGGGAGAAGCGAGAGCCCCAGCGCTCAGTTCACCAGCAGGGCAAGCGAGACATGCTGCCCTGGGCACAGAGGTGTTTTATTTGCACATGTGTCTGTTTTGAGAATTAGACTGAGGCAAACTTCATATGACCAGACTGGCCAAACATTTCGACATGGTTGCATACTTAGGAAGCAACAGAGACAAATCAAAGCCTCAAGAGTCTGGATCAAATGTTCAATTACACAGATCAGACACAGGCCTGTCACAGGTGACTCTTCTTCTTCCTGCTTTAAAAACACTGAGAAGGAATTGCAGCATGGTTTAAGTCAGACTGTAAGAATGACAGTCAGATGTAAGTGATGAATAATTAAACCATCTACTAAGTTTAATGTCTTATAACGTGCATCATGAGCTTATCTTTGATGTCTAAAGTTTTTGTTCAACTTCATGCATGTGTTTTTTTAATGTATAGTTTTACCAGCTTGTATATGATGCTACAAGTTTTGCGATGACCTGCTGGTGATATTGTCAGGTAATTTCGGACCTCTAAAATTTCTTTGTAAAACAGAATAGAGGGAGATAGATAGTATATCTTTTAAGAACATGGTTAAACTGATCTATCCAGCAGGATATTTCCGTCTTTGTAACTCTCTAAATTGCGCGGAAACCCACAGGGATATATTCACCATACTGAATTTAACTTCAGGCAAAGAGTTTTTTTTTTCCTTCGTGGGCTCATAAAAAGCTTCTTCCCCCCAACTCTCTCGGTGAGATGACACTTTGATGTTCCATATTGTGCTTTTATGTTACTCTATTTAGCATCCTGAGTTTGTTTTTCAGTTTTTTTTCATGATCCTCTCCTCTTCCCCTCCTCTATATTCATTCTGTCCCTTCCTCATCTGTTTGTTCCCGGTCCATCTCCTGTTAGTTTGCTCATGTTGTGAGTCACCTTTCATATCCTCTTTTTCTGCTCTTCACTCTGTCATGTACACCTGCTCGTCACTGCAGACGTCACGACACCCACTGCTGTTTTTACCTTCCATCCTTCCTCTCTGTCTTTCCTCTTCCCTCATTTCTCCCCCTGATGATTTCAGTTCACCTGTCTTCATTTTGGCCGGTCTGGCCTTGTTTGGCCTAAATCCACTTGAATTTTATATCAATGATTTTCCTTCACAATAATTTGTCAATAAACAGGGTGTTCATTGAAGGTCAGCTTGAATTATGTTCATGTAATGTGGAAATTTTACATCCAGAGAAGAGCTTGGCCAGGTAAATCTCAAAATGTACTGCAAGCTCTCCCATTTAACAGTGTGATTAAATTATGCAAAATTAATTTGTTTTGTTTTTCTCAACGATAAACCAGCTGACTGTGAGGGAATGTTCAGACAAGGACGAAGCAATCGTGCGTTCAGCAGAACAGTTATCACAGCACAAAGTCAGGAATCCTGACCAAACAAAACCTCTTTTCTGCTCTTCCGTAACAGTCAGAACAATAGAGAGATTGGGCTCAATGCAGACTCAACATCTCTTTTTCAGTGCTGTATTTTTAATTAAAGTGCTTTCTGCCCTTTTTTTATTTTCATTGATATTAAGGGGGAGGTTTTTATCATTTTGTTAAATCTGGTCATTTTGCTCTTACACTTGCTACACTGCGTTATGCACCTACAGCACTAACTTTTAAAAGTTTTCTTTCGGTGTCATTCTTTTCGTTTTTTTATATGCAGAGGTGGAAAAATTGAGGTGTCATTGATGAATGTTGTGAGTTAATGTCTTGTGTGAGCTAATGTGTTTATTTTTGGAAAAATAACTTACACTCCTAAAAAACAAAGATTCTAAATGGGGGTTTACAAAAATGTCACCATTTTTGGTTCCCTAAAGAACCATTCAATGAACAGTTCTTCAAATATTTTTTTTTTCTTAGTGTAAAGAACATCTTTCCATTTTAAACAACCTTTTGTGCAATGGGTCCATGGATGTTAAAGAACCATCGTTTCAAAAAAAAAAATAACCTTAATTTTTAAGAGCGTACACCAAATCAGCAAACTCTTCCACCTCTGCATAGCAGCCTGTGGTGACCAGTATGATTTCTTGTTCCTGGGTAATAATTAGAAGGCCTTAACAATGGGCACTGATTAGCACAGCCAATCAGGAACTCGGACTGATGCAGCAGACCCTCCCACACTGAGCATCTGGGCCTGACCATTTGGTTTTGCATATATGTGTTTTTGCAGGTCACAGGTTCTTCAGGACATCAACTGCAGCAAATGAAATACTGTACATTCACCTTTTGAACCACCTGTGATGTTCAGGTCATGAGAGGGTAGTCCATAACAGCTGAATGATAAGTTTCTGAAGAGTCTTTAGCTGAAGACCTGTGTCCTTTAAAACCCTTGTCCCAAATTAGCATTTCACATTCATCTTCGTCTCCGTAATAGAACCAATCCCTCATATGCTAACACCTTCCCCCATCCAGCCTTCCTCGTTCCTCTAGTCAACTGCTCCCTACAGCTCTACCCTGAGGGTAGGTAGGGCATCTCATTGTGGTAGTTATAGTCTGGACAGACCTTCTGCACCAGTCGGTAGTCTGTGCTGTAGAATGAAATGTAGATACAAATGACCTTAAAGGGTTTGGAGCAGATCCAGGACACATGGCTTTGTGTCTGCTCCTGGAAGCAGGTCTTAGAGGGGTCGTAGTTGCAGAGCGAGGTGCGTTTGCTGCGGTCCACCTTCTCATAGTCTATGCGGCAGTTGAAGATCTTTGAGTCTTTAGGGTAGACCACGCTCTGCCGCTCCAAGTCGAACTCCACAGCCTTTACCGGAGGTACCAGGCTGACTGAGATGTTCCCCTGGCCGGTGGAATTGTGACGGAAGTAGACGCTGAAGGTGCCGTTCCCATGATCCACGATCTTACCCGTGATGAGCAGGTTGAGGCGCACTGTCTTGATGTTAGAGTAGAAGTCGCCCCAGCCAAACATCTTCTTAAATTTGCCTGTTTTGACGATCGGGGGGCGGCGCTTCACACGGGAGTTCCCAGACTCGTCCGTGTCCGTTTTGAGGAGGTCGCTACCCAGCATTTCCCAAAATTCCTGTTTGGAAAAGGGCACCGGAGAACGATAGGGCAGCTCCATTGTGGACGTGTTGGCGGCTCGCCCACGGCTGTGCATCACCCAGCGGCTCAGGGGTGAAATCGAACCCTGAGATCCCAGAACGCCAAGAGTTTTGGAGGAGTCTGCTGGGGAGGAGGACTTTGACGTAGATGAGGGGAAGGAAGAAGATGACGAGGGGGTATCTTCCTGTCCTAGAGCCAGCTGGAGGAAAGAAAACAGGAGCAAGAGTGAGCCAGTTAGTGGAAGTATAATAGAGATGATGACATTTAAAGAGAGAGGAGTTTACACAGACAGGAATTTGAATAGAAACTAGATTTGCATTTCCCAAAGGAAATAGCGGCATTTGCACGGAAGCAAAAGAACAGTGTTGAAGTTTACTTATGCTTAGGGTTTAGACTGTTTTTGCAAAAATGTTTTTTTGTTTTAAATTTCTATAAAAAGCCAAAATGCGCTGCGCACCTAAGGCTGAAATCTGCAAAACAAAGTTTGAATGGAGTCAAATTATTGAATGTATGTTGATTTGTTTTGAAACTGTCGAGAAGATGAATAATAATAGAATGTTTGAGAAATATCAGTACAGGAATTTTAATGCAGTGCTTGCCTTGCAATATAGCATGATTTGAATGACTGAATTGAAAGCAGAAAAAAGAACTGCTAAAAGGGAAACATCATTAGCACTTGAATCAACATTCACCCACAGCAAAGCGTCATAGACACAAATGTCCAGGCCACATTAGACTCACGTCAACAGGAATAAATCTCTGCGATCTAACCTGTCCTAACCTACACTCACTGGTTCACTATATTGCTTTATATATTTTGTGGGAATGATTTGATCCATTTATGGCTGTTAGGGTTAGATAATCTGTTTTTACATGAGATCTCTAGGACTCCCAGAGCTAATTTGACTAAGAGAGAGAGAGAGAGGAAGAGGGCAAACCAAAAATTATATTCAAATTAACATTCATTTTAAAATTAATTTGAATATATTTTAACATCGTATTTATTGAGCAAAGCCATGAACAGATACAAGAAAAGAAAGAAAATTCAGCAGAGAGGAAGAGGTTTCGGGATGGAAGTCCAAGAGGAGAGAAGTATGTTGTTAGATAAAATAGTGTTAGTGTATGTGTGTGTGTGTATCATACTGTATACAGAGAGTTGTGGAGGTGGAAGAGAAGCCTCCTTATGTGGGCTCATGGACAGGTGAAGACCCCCAGAGTGGGCGTAACTGGTAATTACGGGATGGTAATGATCTATTTGAAACACCTCATACACAGATAATCCTACAAGAGCTCTCATACCTTGGATCAAACAGTTGGATGTGACACTTCGTTTGTGTGTGTGTGTGTGTGTGTGTTTGTTGCAGAGTGTCAGAAAACAATGATGCTTTGATGTATTGTTTATTATCTGATGAGCTCTAAATTCTTTTTGGTCTGTGTCTCTGAGCCATGGGCCTGAGCTGCATTGTATCCGCATGGTCAGGTTCAAAGCGAAAACTCCCCCAAAAGACACATTCATTTCTAGGAAACATTCTCATGCTGTACAGAAGCTCTCTGACTTCACCAGAGATGGAAATCACTTCCACGTTTATGGGTTGCAGAGACCTTGCGAGTTGGGGCGACATGGACCGCAACC